ATAATTATATATATATATATATATATATATATATTATAATAATAATAATAATAATAATTATTATTATTATTATTATTATATAAAGTAGGCATTAATAAGATGGTAATAAGCAGCACGTATGTTCCCAGCGAAATATATGTAAATATAGACATTGGTACAATAAAAAATATACAGAGTTGACGTATTATAGGAACATATAATTTTATTAGGTATGAATATTTCATCCTGTCCTCAGTACTTTCTCAACAGTAGAAAATAATTGTACTGGGTGAAACAATGCATACACAGTTTATCTTACGTAATCGGAGACTACTAATGATGATTAAGGGATTAATTCTTAGTGCATTTGATACTCATATTCCACAAGGAGAGAATTTGTATGTGCAAGCTGTATACGTTGGCGAGACAAGCTGTCATTTCTCTGCGCAAGATGCGTGAGCACCTAACACTGCATAAACTGTAACATACCCCGTTCTCTGCAGGGTAAATCCAGATCTCGCTGTAACTCAGTTGCCAATAGTATGAACACTCTACCCATATTGTTCTGCACTGGAAACAAAATTAAGATATCTTTGTTAATAGAGATATCTCTATTTAAAACTAAGATATCTCTATTTATGATTAAATGACAACTTGGCTCGCCATATTACAGCGTGAGTTTGTTTTTCCACTCAAGGTAAATTTTATTGGGAGAGGGTTTTTTTTGCCTATTACGTGTCTTTACGGGATGATTCTTTTTTACCGGTGATGAATTTTTTGGCCCTAATGGCCATCCATAGGCCGTGTATAAGCGATTCCATTATTTTCTTTTATGCTCGAGTGTAAGGAAATACAAGGAAAATCGGTGACCTAATCTGGTGGTAGCCATTGTGTGTGTGCTAAACTGTGGAGATCTCTAGGTCCCCGGTTCAATTCCCATTGCTGCCTCTTCTTGTGTTTCAGTTGGAAGGCTGAAATACAAGTTACAATAGCACACCGTCTTTCAGATGAGACGTTTAAGCCGTTGATCCTGGATCCATTAATGACTCATGTGCACGTTTAAGAACGCAGTACAATCTTCGGAAAAGAGTAGGGGATTGTCTCCCAGTGTACTGTCCAATCACCACCTGAAGGATCTCACTGGAAATAAGTCTTCTTCTAGACTTTCGTTGGCAATCCTGGGTGTTTACACTGAATAAATCCAATCTAATCCATGATTTGTGTACCATTTTGCTATATTTCATGATGATCAATTTCTTTGTCTTTGCGTAAACTTAAAAAAGACAGACAGACAGACAGTGAATACATAACCTTCTTGGCGGTACTTTGTATTCTTATAGATGGCCGAGCGGTTAGTGCAGGGGCGCTGCAACCTACAGCCAAAATATCGGCGCTGGTTCGAATGGCACGCTATGGTTCCGTAGGCTTGTGTGCACTTAAAAGAACCCAGTACATCTTTCGAGACAAGTAGGGGGTTACCACGATGTATTAGTCCATACCGCCCCTGTTGTGGACAGACGACAGTAGCTGGTACCAGTTTACCGGGTACCTCAGACATGAAGTGACCCTAAGGGGAGAAGAAAGTTACTGTACGAGCTAGTCCACAGCGTTTTAAGACTCCGGTATAAAACGCTATATGAATTGAACTACATTGCATTACATTACATTACTGCAGGTTTGAGAGGGGCTTTGCGTACTGACCATTTCACGTATGAAGATGGTTTTTCCTCACTGTGCTGTTTGTGAGTAAGATTTGCATTGAGAACCATTCCCAGGTTCAGTGTTATTTACCTTAGATTTTAGACTGTGCAGCAGTACACCACTTGTGCATTTACATTAATATTATATTTTCTTTTTCTCTCCTACTTTAATATAATTTACTTTACCATTAATTTTTATATTTTATACATTACAATATGTTAATCGGAATATTTTCAGATCGACCGTTGAATCTTGTTCAAATGATAAAAAAAACGAACATAGAAGATAACATCGCGGTAGTGATATTATGCTTTGCTATTGGTGACAGTGCTACAGACAATATATTTTTCGGTAAATCGGTGTCTTTAGTAAGTTACCGCACTCATGGAGACGAGGTTCTCCCATCTGCAACAACTGGAGAAAACTCTGATTTCCCTGATAACTTAGAAGCTCGTACCAAAGGCTCATATTATAGAAGGTATTTAATTCCAAAAACAACAGGAGTTGAGCGTTACGGAGAATTCTCATGTCGTTCAGAGGTCAATGGTCAAAACACAGTTATTCATGGCATCACCTATATGAATACTGGTAAATATACTATTTTTATTTATCTTAATACCTACATGTAACTATCAAGTTTATGGTTTAATCTATCAGTGCTCTACCCTTTATGATGTTTAAACTTGTTACATTAATACAAAAGTATTATGTAAAGAACATTTTGAATCCTTAGTTGTATTAGATTTTGTATTACAGGTCTGTCTGTTTTGAAAAAAAAAGAGAGAACCTAAATGATCGAAATAAAACATTATTGAATTGCTAACAGTGTAATCAACTTTCAATGAGAGAAAATAAAGGACCTTTCCAGAGTGTCAAACAACAACTGACCAATCAAAACAGAACTTGAAATACACGTGTGTCTAGCAGGCACAGTGTTGCGTAACATTGTCGTGTTGTGTGACCTTAGCAACAATATGCATGGGGCTGGGCTTACCGTAAAAGTCCTTTTTCGCTTATTTACATTAAAATAACAATCAGCAAGTTAATGGATCAATGCAAACATTATTATTGAAACTGTATTATTATTAAAATCAATGCAATTATAATTCATAAAATCAATGATAAAATTTATAAAATCAATGATAAAGTTCATAAAATCCATGATAAAATTCATAAAATCCATGATAAAATTCATAAAATTAATGATAAACTATAAAATTTATGATAAAATAGAAATCCATTTACAATATAAACACTGTTAACAAAAAGAAAATAACAGAGCATACTGTAACATCAATAGCAACTCAGTTAAGATTTAACTGAATAAAAAAAACGAAAGCATGTGATAATATTGTAAGCTCGTCCGCAGTTTGCTTTAGAAGGTGTCTATATACCACTTAAAAGCACAGCACTTTTTAAGGTTTTGTTATACTACATACTGTAAAGGTAGTAGTGCCTATCAACACCCATATTTTGTTTTTTTTCTATACAGCAAACATTACGGTTGATGCAACTAAAAGAACTGTAGTAATTGGTTTGGGAGAAACAGTGACGCTGACTGTTGATGCAACAACAGCTGAAAATCTTCGTTGGAGACACAATAACAAATTTATGTATGGTGACTCAATGCATAATGTGATGAGTCTTACTATTACGAATGCTCGTCGAGAAGATGAAGGTGTGTACGAGTGTTATTATCAAGGAGAACGTCATAGAGGAGCACACGCTTTCATGTATCTTTATGTTACAGGTATGTAGTACTGGGTCCTAAATAGTTACCGTACCGTTCAAGTTTAATGAATTAGGTGCAGTTAAGCCCACGAAGGACGCTCATATTACGACACCAAGGGTTGTTATTAATGACTTCTTATTAACTACTACTGTGTAATATTGTTTTTTGTTCAGTGATGATTATTTTAATCATTTTTACCTTAATGTGCCCTGTACCCAAAAGGGGTCCATGATTGATTAAAGCAGTTGTTCCCACCCCGGAGTCTGTGGACACCTTAGGGTTCCACCAAAAATAATTGGGGCCTGCCAAGTCAAGAGGGTCTGCAGGGGCTCCGTGAACAATAATTTTGGGTCCACGAAAAATGTTGATTTCCGCTAGATTTTTCCAATATTCCATTAGTTTGCTTTTCTTAGAACAATGTAATCTTACTAATCACCATTTGCCTTATCAATAGTGAAATTATTTTGACAAGTGCACAAACTTCGTTTACTGTAAGTTATTCTGTAAGTCGCATTATATTTTGATTCCATGTTTATCGAAATGCACTCCATTTTGTCGCATGTTTATCAAAATGCACGCCAATGTTTTATGATCTGTTAAAATCAAATAAATTTGTTTTTATGTATGCTTTTAAATGTAAAGATGTTTAGTATAGGAGAGCCACATTTTTTAATCTTGCTCACTCATTGTGACATCTTTAATTGTAATTTAATTTTAATTTTTATATTAAGTTTTTTATTTAATTTTGAATTAATTCTTTATGTAAATTTTGAATTGAGAGGTTGTTATTTATTTTACTGAAATTTAATTAGTTTAATACGTTTTTTTGTTTTGTTTTACTATGTGTATTGAGGGTCCCTAATTATCAGCTTCGTCTGGATGGACCACCCTCATTAAAGATTGTTGAAATAAATAAATATAATAAATCCTCAGGTAATGAGCATCTATTTTCTTCTGTGCTTTTCCCTGAATATTGAAAAAAAGACAGGAGGTCGGGACCTTAAATTTTAAAAATAAAAAATAAATGGGAAATAAAAGAAAATTACTTTCATATTTTGAGTCTGAGAGGGCCATTCTCGGCTATCTAGATGTGCCGTAGACATAAAAATGTTGTACCTCAGCTCCAACCAACCATAGTGGGGCTGAGATGGTATCGACCCTCTATCTGTAAAATTGAATTTCTTAATCCCCCTCTATTTTGAATTTTCAGGATACGCCACTTATTAATGTTGTACTTTTGTGACGAATAATCTTGTAATCTTATTAGTGAAATATCAATAAATTGATCTAAATTTACAAAATTTAATATAAATAGGGATAAAAGAAAATTACATTAAAATTGTGAGTCTGACAGTGAAATTTCCGGCCATCTAGAAGTGACAGACATAAAGATTTTGTACAGCCACAAGCATGGTTGAGCTGGGGTGGGTTCCGTTTCGAATTCCAGGATCCTCCAGTGTTTAATATTGTACGTAGCGTATCATCTTGTATCTATAATCTTATAGTTGGGATATGGACAATGAGTAATACTTAGACAGTAGGGTCTATGAAGATTTTTGACATATTCCGAGGTGTCCGCGAAAAAAAAAAAAAAAAAAAAAAAAAAGCAAAAACGTTGGAAACTATCAGATTAAAAGATAGGCCATTTCGCCACTGGCGGTGGTTAACCTTCTCACGATTTTACTTAAATCCGAGATGTGATTGCCAGAGTTTGCTTGACGTTAACCTTAAACTTCAGTCTCACCATCTTAATGCCTTACTGTACTGAGCATGTTGAAAGAATATTCATGGCATCCCAGGGACCACTTGTATACATTGACCTAATCCTTTTAATTATAACCTCAATAATTATACCTTTTATCTAGATGTAATTTATCATTATGTTATCCATGTCTTTACAGAGTGTCCAACGTCTTATTGTGGTATACCATCATGTGGTCTACATTGTCCAATTTGCTACAATGGTGGAGAATGTGATGCTAGATCTTGCACCTGTATTTGTCCTAATGGATTTGCTGGGGAGTTTTGTGAGGAAGGTAAGTGGGGTACAATAATGTACATTGTATCAGTGTCCAACTTATTGATATTAATTAAAAATAATGACAATTATAATACCATTTCTGTAGGGATACATTTTCCACATTTTTACGTACAATTTGTATGATAAAAGTGTTTAATAAATCACTGGTTATTGGACATTCCTAGGCAATGGAATCGTACAAAGAGTAAAGTATTTTATTCGCAGTGCAAGAATATTTCGCAACTCCTTAGTCAGAAAACACATGCTATTTACTTATTATAATATAATATATTATAATATTCATTGTTTCTTGTGTATAAAAATCCAAATTCTGATAATTCAGAATCTTTAACCAGTGAGTAGCATAGGTTCCAGCAACTATCTACCACTCAATTGATATAAACTGATGAGAGCACAGTGATGATCAATAAGAGGTCCGCCAAGGTATTTCCAAAATATAGATTTTATAAATCCCCAAAATAAAAAATTCAAAGGTGTTTCTGTCACCTGCCTTCCTGTTCCAAATTGATATTTATTAATCGGCTACTAAAGATGCAATAAGAGTATAATTAATAATTGTTTAACTAGTTTATCTGGGTTTACCGGATATAGGCCTAATTACAAATATAAACATCAAAACAATACCGTAAATTTTGGCGTTTCCCCCACTTACGTAATTTAATAGTAAGTATTTATATTCCTACATTGTTGATAACCTCTGTACTGCTACAGACCAGAAACAATGTTACAACTGTCACATCTGCTCGTTATTTCGAAAACAACATATGCAATTCGCGCTATGCGCTTGCGCTTTATACGCGCACACATTGGCGACAGTAAACAACAATGACCTACTTATTTTTACCTCGGTCAGCAGTTAATAGTTACTATAATAATTAGATTTTATACAATATAATAAACGTCTGCATACCTGAAGTCAATGACTCTATACAAATATAAATGCAACGGTAATCGGCCACAGCAGCAACTATTCTAATTGCTTATACATTGATGTTGTCAGGCAAAAGTGATCACTGCTTTGGCATTGAAGGATGCAACTTTTATTACAAATACATTGATAAGAGAACGTTGTGTTACCCACCACCGATTGGCTGCAGTTGTCTATCAGGATTAACAGGCATTGAATGTGATGAAGGTAAGTAATAGATATTTTGGAGTGTTAATCAAACTCAACAGTTGACCAATCGCAACAGGGTTAGGAATACGCACGTTTCTTACAGACACACATGTCCCATAAACGCATGTGTGCGTATGCCTTTATACAGTCGTTTTTTGGGACCTTAGCAACAATATTAAAGGTTTCGGGCTTAGCGGAAAGGCCCATTATTCAATTTGTATCTATTTTAAAAATTACTGCAGCAGATATTTAGCGGATAAGAAACCTATTCGTTTGTACAGCATTTTCTTACTGTGACACGCAAATTCATTTCACACTATGTTTGTTGGTAATGCTAAGAAAATAACGAGATCAGCCTCAGAGTTCTCTAACACTCTACCTGTTCATCAACACACTGCTTTGTGTAGCATCAGTTTCAGGCATTGAATCTGGGTTACTCACTTTTTATTGCACTTAGTGTGCACCATACTAAATATAATTAGTATCCCATACTCGATTTCTTTTTTTTTTTTAAATTTTTACCACTGATCTCTACTATAATAGCTGGATTGCTGTTACAGTTACGAGTCGGCACAAAGAACACAATCTGGAACCTTCATTGTAAACAGAAATCGGTATATTTTTAATACAAGATGGACATCATGTCCACTTCACCAAACCATGTACTGATCAACAATACACATTTGGCTATATAACAGCCTACCTCCACATAGTACATAAAGTAACGACCATTATTAAGGTCTGGGCTACTCGCAAAAATAATTGGACATCACGTCCATTCACTTAGCTCACCGATTCGTTACTGCCACGCTCTACCCTACACTGTTCCCTCATTTACATACTAACATATCAGCTGCTCCCGTTCACCATTAATGTCTACACTCTTACTCATTTACATGGCCTAGTAAGTGTAGGGTAATAATAAGTTAGGCGAGCTCATGAGAGCATGACATTGCTCATTGGCTGGTTTTAGTGAAGCCACCATTTATAAATACTACAGTGACGTGCTAGTCAAGTTTTTGTTGACATTTGTTTAAATTTGTGTTAAAAATAACAATTCTTGCAATATATATTAATAAATTTAGGAAAAACTCAGAATGCCTTGCAATTATGTAAAAAATTAAAATCCAAAATCGGCTTTGTTCAAACGAAGAGTAATCTTTTCATATTTTCTTAATAAAGAAACTGGTAATCTTCTTGAACTGAAATCCTTGATAATAGAACCAAATGGATGTAAGTTGACAAAAAATACAACGCATTTTAAAAATAACACAAAAGATTTAATGGAAGACATGTTTCGGGTTACCATCAACCCATCATCAGTTAACAAAAAACACAACCAAGTACTTTTAAATAC